ATCTATCTATCTATCTATCTATCTATCTATCTATCTATCTATCTATCTATCTATCTCAACTTTTAACATTCCCCCACTATTTTTAAAATGTAAAAGCGCTATTAAAATGAAAAAGCGACAGCACCCCAACACAAACAAATGTGTGTGTTTTGGGAGGCACCTGCTGTGCTGCAAGCTTGCACCATGATTTCCAAGAAGATTCTATTCTCAGGAAGGCTCCTTTGCCTGTTCAAAGCACATTGGATACGATGACCCTGGCCAGGCTTAGCCTCTCCATGTTAGACTGAATGGCAGCCGGAGACCAAGGGCCTGGTTGCTGCAGCTTTAGTACTAATCCTCCCAGACTGTGCACAATGGCACCCTACCTGGCCTGCAAACTATAGCTAGCTAGGCTGCCTTTGAAGCAGGTGGTGAATAGGGAACTGCAGGAAGCCAGCTTTCCTCGTGAACTCCAGGCCACACAGCTGCTACGAACAGTCAGTTGAATTTTTCTTCAGTTTTGGTGGATTTCAGAAGAAGAAAAAAACGCTGTTATCAGGAATACATTGGTTATATTTAGCGTGAGAATCTCTCCTCTTCAAAAAATAAAGCAACAGTAGGAATCTGCCCATAATTGATCTTGTTTGTGTGAGCAAAGCACATAGGCGTCTTATCTTAAAGAGATAGCATTCATTTTTTAAAAGCATTCTCCATCACTGTCACATTGTTGTGTGTATATAAATCTTCCATATATATTCTGAATAACTGAATAAAAATCTTCTTCTCACCTCATTCTGGAATCAAATTATTCTCAACTTCAACAGGAAATATTTGTGTAATATATACTTGGCATAATACCATAAAAGCAAATTGTTGAAATTGCAGCTTTATGAACAAAGATTCTTTCTTTACTGATCGTTAATGCTTTATGAGGGATTGTGATGCAGTTGAAATCCAGTTATTTAAAACATTTTTGTCCAATAATTCTAGGGCTGACTATTACACTTTCTTTTCTAGATAGAAAGAAGTTTCCTTGATACAACTGAACGTGTTCTTCTGTGAAAATCTAGATAAATTAAAATAAGGAAAATTACTCCTATTTTTTTTTTAATAGACTAACCATAACTGAATTTACACTTTTTGCTTTAAAAAAAAAAAAAAAGTCTGGATCAACACTGCAAATTTTTCCTTCCCCAATTAATTCTATGATTGTCCAGTTAACTTTTACTTTCCAATTCCCTGAAATCATCTGAACTGATTACTAAAAAATATAAAGTATTATTAAAACAAAAAAAAAATCTGAAATAAATATAAATACTTATATGTCAGCCTTCACTTTACTATGCACTTTTCCCCTTTGTAATTAGCAAAATGCTTATATTGTGACAAAGGGTATATGTAACCAAGAAAAAGGACATTATAACTTCTGAGAGTAGCAAGATGTACAGTATTTGTTCTTTAAGCTTAAATGACAGCACTGACTTGCTGTCACTCATTTGGTAGAATGAGTGTGTGCGTGTGTGTTCGAATGAATGACACTACTACTATTAATGCTAATCTATCCATTAGTCCATAAGAGTGGTCAACATAATTTCTTAGAAGCAATTATCTCTCTCCTTCTCCAGTCTTTACATTGTACAGTTCCACGTGAAAGTTTAAGCATTTCCAGTCAAACTATATGTTTCAGTGAATTCCTAAGTGAACAGAAGCTGATTATAACCTCTACATGGCGCACAATTATACATCACATCTTTCTGCAAATGTTGAGTGCATACTTACTATGTATTTGTAGTAATCTAAGATCTCTGCAGAGATTTTCTATAATATGAAAATCTGGGGACTGTGAAGGCCGCTCTTAACTTTTTAACTTTCTTTCCTTTAACTACTTCACACGTGGAGGTATGTTTTGGAACGTTGTCTTGCTGAATTATCTAACCTCTTCCCAGCTTCAAATTCTTCACTGACTGTGGGACATTATCTTCTATGACATATTGATATTTAATTGGATCCATTATTATTTTCATCTGTACAGTACAGGTATTTCCTCTGCCACTGGCTGCCACAAAATTCCATAATGTAATAGCCACCCCTGTGCTTGATAAACAGTTCAATTTTTGTGCCATCAGTTCAAAGCACTTTATTTTAAAATGTTTCAGGCCTATCAAGATTTTCTTTACACAGTCTAAATAATTGCTTTTGTGATTAGATCAGAAAAAGGGTGGAATTTTTTTTCTGACAACTCTCCCATGCAGATCATTTTTCTATAAACAGCACTGTATTGTGGAACTATGTATAACTACTCCAGTATTAGCTAAATTTTTCAGCAGATTGTTTGCAGTGATGTGTGGATTAAGTTTTTCAGATCTGACCAGCTTTGAGGCAGTACTAGTGGAGATTTTTCTTGGGTCTTCCAGATCTTTCCTTGTTTTCAGTGGTTCCATGTAACCTCCATTAACAAGGTTAGCACAGTTGAAATTGCTAGCTGAAAGTGTTTAACAGATTTTTAATAGCTTTTCTTTGCTTTTAAGAGTGAATTATCTTCACTTTCAGATGCTCAGAAATTTCCAGAGGAATGCCTAGAAGAGCACATGGATGTTGAAAGTAGAGAGATTAGAAGATCAGAGTATCTGTTTATGAATTGGACTGCCTTCATATAATCATAGGCCTAATGAATCGATCATTTTTAAATAAACAAACAAACAAACAAACAAACAAATAAATAAATAAAGATTTGCTCCAATTTATTATGTTAGCACTTAGCACAGTGACCAATGGGCTGGAGGCAAAATTGAATCCATAAGCATGGGAAAATTCAAATGCAAAATTTGATTTTTCATCCATGGGGCACTTGTGATAATTTTATCTGCAAGGGGCACTTATGATTATTTTTGGAAGAAAAAAAATACTGCTAGGATTGTATGGGGCCTTATACATAGTAAACTCTTTAATGTGAAAGTTTAAGACAAATTCATGTTACATCTATGCTTGACCTGAAATTACAACTTAACAATTTTAAGAAGAATTTTCTAGCAATTGACACAAATTAATACAATCATTCTATCAATTGAACCCAAAGGAAATTCCAATGGAAAAAGGATTATAAAAGCTATCCTAATAATACCTTGTATTTCAAAATTAATACAATCAAAAAATGACTGTAGTATTGAAATTTTCAGGTTATATATTTCAAGTTCTACAATATTACCAAGCCTATATGTTCATAGGCTATGGCTTGGTAATATTATAGAACTTGTAGCATTTTATATGAAATGCTTCCAGTATTATAAATTATCAACAGATGGCAGTAATGACATACTAGAAGTTCTGACGTGTTCTTTAGATTATTTTTTTTTCATTTCAGTTGATACAAAGTTGCTGTGAGAAAAAGTTGTATTTCTATTATTCATGAAATGGAAGACTGCAATGAATACTCATCAGGCCACTTTAAGCAATGCACTGTAATTGAATTTTTGATTGCAGAAGGAACCCCTCCAACTGAAATTCACTATGGAATGCAGCTTATTTATGGTGATTACTATGTTGACATGAGCACTGTATGTCACCAGGCCAATAAATTTAAGGACTGTATCACCAAGAACAAAGTGGATGACCTGTGACAGCAGTCAACAAGTTTCACATGAGAAAGATTGATGAACTAATTAAGGGCAACTGGTAGATCACTTACGGAGAAATTTGCTGCCAAGTTTGGCATTTCACAAGACTGTGTGGGTCACATTATTGATATTCTTCAATATTGGAAGGCTGGTACAAGATGGCTTTCTTGCATGGTGATGGCAGAGCTGAAAGCTTCAAGGTTTGAAATTTGTCAGCAATTGTTTTCATGCTATGACAATGGGAATGAGGATTTTTTTCACAGCATTGTGACACTGACAAAACATGGGCTCATCATTATGACCCGGAGACCAAATGTCAATCCATGGAAAATCATCACAAAGCTTCACCAAGAAAAAAAAACTTCAAAACACAGGCTTTGACAGGAAAACTCAGGATTACAGGTTTTTGGGACACAAATGGTGATATTCCCATGGATTTTCTTGAAATGGCACCACTATCAACTTCGAGTACCACATTGTAAGACTCAAAACTCTAAAATAACAATGAAATAAAGTTTGGAAATTTTGCTGCAACTCTAGGCCTTATACCTCATGAACCATCCAAGCAATTGCAAAATTGGATCTCACTGTCTTACTCTATCTGTCATATAGCCTAGACTTGGCATCATGCAACTTCACCTTTTCTCAAAATTGAAGGAATACTTTAGTGGGCATCTGTTTGACTCAAATGAAGAGGTGGAAAGGACTGTCAGGAGCTGATTGAAGAGTTCTTTCATGACAGCTTTAAGAAGCTTGTCCATCATTAGCAGAAGTATGGAGTGAATCATTGTGATTGTGTAGAGAAATAGATACAGGTAACAAAAAAGTTCATTTCAAAGTCACAGAGGTGGAGGCATTACTTTTCATTCAATGCTTGTATGCAAGGCAGAGCAAGATACTAGCTCTTGTGTTTTAGTGTTTCATTGTAACAGGCTATTTCAATGAGCATTTGGAATGCATACAATTTGTAATAAGGCATGACAAGCTTCAAAATATAATCTATGATCTAAACTCTAACTAACACACATGAATTTTGACCCTAATAAAGAGGAAATGTAGAAGCCAGAAGCAGGATTAGAGAGAGCATGAAAAACCTTACATATAAAAATGGTTTGCACTAAAGTTGTCTAGTAACTTCCTGCCAAAAAAGATAATGCAAAAGAAGGAAGAGATGGAACTGTAACAATCCTATCTCAAATGTGAGAAAGCTTCAACAAAATCCAAGGCCCTACCAAAAGCAGCCAGGGTAGGAGGGGCTTTTTGGATTGTTCTCCCTCCCCACTCTTTTTCTTTTCAACGCATTTCCTTCCCTCACAAGCAGCGAAAAGGAGATTATTTAAACACAGTTCAACACGATGTATATTTCACTTACATCTAGACACCTATAGAACTAGGAACCACTCACCATTTCCCAATTTTCCCCGACACTGTATCTCTAAAATTGCAAGTTACTGCAAAGGCAGAGAGTATCTAAGATGGGATTTCATCAATGAAGTTGGATAACTCACTCTGCTCAAGACAAGTGATCCAATCTAACCTATATCCCTACGACACCTGACCCTGAGTAATATTAGTGTGTCCCTAGTCTGAGATTTCAAAAAACAAATTTTGTTTTTCGAATAAAGGAGAAATATTAATATAGAAGATTTTAATGGGAATCAGTTTGAAATTTCTATACCCTTTGTCAGTTTATGATGATTTTATGAGATGCTGTTTTATAATAAATGCTAATAATGAAAAAAAGCATTTTTATGTTATAAAAATGATGAGCTTGTTACCTACACATCAATAATGAATATTAAACAGACTCAAAGCCATTTTTCTACCATTGTTAGACTATTTGTTTTGCCATATTTATGGAAGAAAAAGAAGGACCTAAAAATAAGCCACTCATTATAATGGTGATAGACATGGCATCTAGAATCCAGCTTAAATTATCTATATTCTTTGTTGAACTGCATGTATATTCAGATGGACTAAAATGACTCCAAAATGTTTTGTTGCTCTAAGGCTATTGCACAGCCATTCCCTGCCCCTCTTATTCTTCCTGTTTCTTCTTCTGACTCCAAGTCCATCCTCTCATGGGTAAATGGAATTTTTTTTAACAAGAAAGCTGATGTTTCTTCACTTACCCAAGAAAATTAAGAGAATCAAAGGAGCATATATAGATATAGTTTCCTTTCTATTATAGGAAGACATGCTTTTCTGTATAACCAGAAGGTTTAGAAACTTTGGAGATACATTAAAATTATTTGCTCAAGTACCAAAAAAAAAAAAAAAGAGGAAGAAAGTTAAAACAGTGGGTTAATGAACCATTTTGAAAGCAGGTCAATAGCTTCCAAGATCATTGATAAAAAGGAAACAACTAAGACAGCATAAAGTAAGTGGCCCCAATGTGGAAAATGTTAAGAACCATTTTCTTAAAATTAACTAACCTGTTGTTCATATTTTTGCTTGATCTCCTCCAACTGCCAGGAGAAATCTTTTGACTGCTTTTCACGGAGAGATTTTGATCTGCTAAGATCTGCTTCTACCTTTTCCATCTACAAAGTAAACCAGAATATATCATTTCAAAATAGACATGGCAGATAATTGTTTCCACACCATCAAAATGTTAAAAATTATTATCTATTGACAGTTAAAAAATGGGATTCAAGGATATTTTATCAGTAAAGTGACAAGAAGATAAACACAGATCATTAAAAAAAAAAAAAGCACAAATTTAGCCATTTTAAATTTCATCTGATTTCTATGAGATTATACCATTGAAGAACAATCTAATTTTACACCTGATAAATTTTACACCTAATAAAAACACCTAAAAGCCTAAAGTGTTATTTATTGAAACAAAAACAGTAGGAGTTAAAGTACTGAACATTTTATTGCATTCCATCGTTGTTCTTTCAAAGGCATTTATCTTAAAAATCATGTTTTTTGGCATCATTTTATTTATTATATAAGTATGTGGAGGTTTCATTACATATGCATCTATTTAAAATGAAAAGCAACATATATATGTAAAGAGAATTACTATCTAAGCAATCATACATGTAATCAGAAAAGACCTGTTCATGGTTTTCCACATTGTTTTTTTCACTTTACTATATGAATGAATTTGTAAAATGTAGTTAGATTGGTAAGACTCAATGAAGCAGATACACTGAAAGCATCTTGGTTGCCCTTTCTGAAATAAACAACACAATTTAAGAAAGGGTTGGGCATCCAGTGTTAGCTCATTACCCAGCAATTCTGGCATTGTAAAATAGTCAAAGTTCACCAACTTTGGCCTGTTTTGCCGGAACACTGCCTGATTTTAAAAATGGGAATGGGAGCAGTTTACCTCTGGGAGGTCTCTTACTCCCATCCCTAACCCTTAAAAATCCAGAAAAAAAAATTGAAAAGTTGAAAATTTTTGCTCATGCCCCTTCCAATGACATTACGGTATCACCAGATGACCTGCTGTGTCCTTCCAAGTTACATTCCCTGATCTCTCAAATATTTTCCTCTCCCCATTTATATAGTAGAACAGAGATACACAGCCTGAAATCATCCATTATTTTTAATGTGCTAGACTCCTTCCTTACAAAATCTTTGAATGAAATGAGGAAAAGTGCTAGATCTCCTACTTCAGGCTGCTGCTAATCTCTTTTTATTACTGGTATTTCAGTCTTTTTTAACCCAGCTTGAACAAACTTCCAGAAACTTTTTGACACCATCAGGAAAAGGAATCCTTAATTATGGCTGGGGTGGGTCTTCCGGGCTGTGTGGCCGTGTTCTGGAAGTTTTGTTTTCTAACGTTTCGCCAGCATCTGTGAC